ACATCGGAAAGGCAGGAAAAAAGGGCCCTCATGGAGAACGAGGACCACCGGGACCCAGAGGGAGACCTGGGAACGCTTTTCCGGGGAACACCTCAAAATTTCTTGAGGATATTGGTAAGAAAAGATTACTAATACACTTCCTCTCATTAATAACTACAAGGTATGTTTGTAACGTTCCCGGCATACTGTCTACCAGCTGCGTAAAACTGTGGCGGGGACAGTCAATATCTTAGAGGGCAAGATGCACAGATTAAACGCGGCTGGTTCGATTGCAACGCAGTCCATTCTTAATGTTGTTTTTGTCCTTTCTAAGCTTCTGTTAGATCCGAAACTTTGAGCTTGACTCACACGATACATGAAAATCGCTGAGAGAGTCATAATAAGAAGGCAATCCTTTTGCTCAGTGTAAAGCAACGAAATTTTTAATTTGAGGGGGAGGGGAGGGGGATCGGAAGATTTTGGTTGTGTCACAATTAAAAAGCACTATGGTATCCTAATGACCCTTCCTCATTGGCAGTCAATAGTCCTGTCTCCATATTCTGCTAGTAACGACTGATCTCTCTCCATTCCACCTGGAAATCATGTGATCTCTCAAAATCGTCTAACCCCACCCCTTCCCCCCCCCTTACCCCAGATAAAATGGAGGTTAGTTGTTTCATTAATATTTGCTTTCAGATATCCCAGGGATTGAAAAGAAGCCACCACCCAGTTTAACGTCGAAAGAGGGACGCAAAGTCTCCTTGCCTTGTTCCCCCAATGGTTATCCAAAACCAGAGATCACGTGGTACAAGGATGGGCAAAAGATGGACAGTAGACTCTACAACAAAGAGACGGGAGAGTTGATGTTTCCCAGTATTCAATTCAACGATCGAGGCTTGTATAAATGTGAAGCCAGGAATTTCCTGGGCGTCGAGTCGGCGACTGTAAAAGTTGTTGTCGAAAGTAAGAAAGGTTTTATTCATGTCTTTAAAGTTTGTTGCATGTAGTGAATGTACTGTTAATGATTTTCCTGATATCATGGTGTCACTGAGATACTTTTGACAATGTAGTGACCAGGTGATGTGATGTTTCATCTGCTCGTCTTACTCTTTCAGACTAAGATTCTGGGCTCATTTCTCGAAAAGCAGCTGTGTGTCGAGCCCTCATTTTCTTAAGGAATGAACAATAATACTACTACTAATAATAATAATAGTAATAATAACAAAAGGTTCAAGTGTCTCATGGTTGGAGAGAAGTTTTCTTTGGCATAAATGCCGTTCGTAGAAGATGGTTAGAAATCAGGAGAGGCAGTTATCAGATTTCCCTTTCCAGGTTTTCGTCTTTTGTTTCATCACTTTAGGTTAAAATCTAAGATGATTCAAAAAACATCTAGGGCAGTGGTTAAAAATGCTTTAAGAGCTAAAATTCATTTTAAGAGGCTACAGACAAAAGTCAGGTTCAGGGCTCCTATTGATAACAGATATACTTTTAAGTATTCTGAAGGGATTACCCTAGTTAAATAAAGGTTTGCTACTGCTACTTCTACTAGGTTAAGCATCAATCATCATGATTGAAAATCTTCAAGCTTCCAGAGCAACTAGGAAATCATAAACTCCTACCCGTTGCTTTTAGTAGCTGGCCAATTTTAGCTTGTCGAAGACATGGAATTAACATGAATTAATGGTTCGCCGTTTAAAGATTTGCAGGTTTTCGTTTCTACACCAGCGAGAATAACGCTGGCACCCGGGCCATCTACTCAAAGATTCCTGATCAGTAGACCCTGGTCGCTCTAGGCTTCACACATTTAACGCAAGACCTCAAAAAAAATTAATTAGCTGAGTAAATGTTTTTTCAGTTACTCCAAGATTTGTTGAGAAGCCTGAGACCTACCACACAGCATACGAAACATGGGAGACGACTCTGTCATGCAACATCTTCGGCTTCCCCCCACCAAAGATACAGTGGACTCGCTCATTCAAAAAGCCAGTAACTGTTGATCGTCACGTGGTGGCTGGTAACGATTTAATGATCAAAGACATTAGGCTGGAGGACAGAGGGCCTTTCATGTGCCGAGGGGAAAACCACCTGGGTCATGTATATGCACTTATTGTGCTTGTTGTGAAACCCGTCGGTAAGTGGACGAAGTATTTTAGAGAAAAACCAAAACTGGCATGGAAAATAAAAAAACATAAGTCAAATGAGATTCTGAGCATTTTCATTTACTGCCTAAATCTGTGATAAAACCCCAACGGAAATTATATATTTTTTGCACATTTTAGCTAGTTCAAAGGTCAAAGAAACTGTGAAGAGACAGATACCACCGCGATTAAACGTTTATCAGTTATTATTGCGCAAAATATCAAACCTTCTGACACCTAACATAAGGCGGGCGCACGACGAGGGTTCCGTGGGTGCACACTTTATGCAGGTTCCATTGTACTTGCACCAAAGACTAACCCTTGCATATTCCTCCTTACTTTGGGCACAAAAATCTACCACCAACTTCAACTTTGTAAGCTAAATTTGGATTCAGGCGATTTCCGCATTGTTTTAATTTTTTTTTTGTCAACAGTTCCTCCAGCAATCACCACAGCACCATCTTCAGTTGTTAAGGTAACAAAGGTCGATGACAGTTTTACTTTGCAGTGTGCTGCACGTGGGTCTCCTGTGCCCAGTCTAGAGTGGAGCAAAGATGGAGTGATTATTTCAACCAACACCACTGTGAAAACTGAGGACGAAGTGAAAGGAAAACTTGTGATTTCAAGTTTTGGCCCCTCTGACCAGGGGGTGTACAAGTGTTTCTTTAAAAACTTCGACAACGGTACTGCGGAGATCAGTACCACTGTAGGTGAGTAGGGGTATCATCTTTTATGGATCCTATGTGTAACCTATATTACCAGCCTTTGTGAAGGCAATGATGGTTTTTGTCTGCAATTTTAATCATGTGCTCATTCGGTCTAAATTTCCAGAGCTTGTAGGATGCGGCGAGCCTCATGTTCCCATGAACGGATACAAGGTTGGAGAGAATTACTGGGCAGGAGAGATGGTTATTTTCGCCTGTGACACAGGATACCACTTGGAAGGACCTACAAATAGACTGTGCTTGGAAAATGGCACCTGGAGTAACGTGGTACCGACGTGTAAGAAAAAATAAACTAATTTTGCTGTAAAAGTTCGGTTGTAAGCTTAAACTAGAACGGCATATTTGATTTCTTTCATCAGGCAATTGTTTATGCGATGAACCTGCTCCTCTCGAGAATGGTTACAGAATAGGAAATGAATTTTGGGAAGGAAAAAATGTCACATACAAGTGTAACGAAGGATACCATCTTCGTGGACCACACGTCAGAGCTTGTGATAAGAATGGAAACTGGACGGGAGAAGATCCAACTTGTGAAGGTGAGATTACCGGGTCAGAACATGTATCAACATTGTCAGTAGTAGCCGAATTTATGGAGTGGTTTTGCTTATGAATCAGTGAACCAAATCGTCTATCTTTCCATGGCAAATACTGTAAAGGAAGTCAATGCTAGCCGCTCTTAGGCATCTGACGGCTAACTAGACTTCGAAGAATCGGGTTTCAAACTTCTGGATTTCGCGCATGACGCACAACCACTAGGCTATTAAGAACTTGACTGGCTTTGCCATTTATTCATTGAAATACACAGATCAGAAAACACAGTTTTTCCAGAAAATAGCACATACAAACCTTTGAAAGACACCTATTCTTGCCAGCTTTGGATGAGTTATTCAATCTTGATCCTCACCGTCCAATCTAAAACTTTCAGGGCCAGTGTTCGAGCACTCAGAAATCCTACTAAACAATACAGAATACTGGGAGCTCCTTAAAGGGTGGCTGGGTCCTGTGTCTACATTGCCAGCCAAGTGGAGTCTGTGCTACAGAGCTACTGATCATGGATGGAGTTCCAGTACATTCCACTCGCAGTGTAACAGCTTAGGACCTTCGGTGACGTTTATTAAAGTGGGAGAGTACATATTTGGGGGATACACCGACCAAAACTGGCGTAAGTAAAAAAAACACTTAAAATTTACAGTAACCAAAAGACTTGCCCTAAGAGGCTAAAAGTGAATCAGCCTAAAGAAGTACCGTTAGTCTTTTATACCCTGAGAGAGACTGGCATCTAATTTCTCCTCGCAACAACAACAACTAAAACGCTGTTGATTGTTAAACAAATTCTCCTGGTCAGCACTTTTGAAAAGTTATATAACAGTATGGAGAATTACGCATGCTAATGTTTGGGTGTAAAGGATTATATGCGACTCATACTCATTCCAGCTTTTTTCCATGTTTAGATTCCGGTAGTTCTTACACAGACTCGACTTGGAGTTTCATTTTCTCGTTTAAAAATGGTTATGGACTGGAACCATTCAAGCTCCACGTGAAAAACTCTGGAAATGCCATGTATGGAAATAACGGTTATGGACCAACATTCGGTGGTGGACACGACATTTACATCGCGAATTCTGCAGGCTCCAACACGAATTCCTACACCAACTTGGGTCACACGTATGTTCCTCCGGCTGGGTACAAATACTCTGCGAGTGACACGAGAAGCCTGTTGGCAGGCACTTACAATTTCCAGCCCCATGAGGTGGAAGTGTTCTATCAGACTCACAAGAACTGATGTTGGTTACAAGACCCGGATGAAGTTAGCGATTTCTCATAACAGATGTAAACTTTTTTCATCAAAGGAGGTGCACCACGACTCGAGCATCTTAAGAACCTCACCCTAGATCTTTAAAGTTCATTATTTTCAATTTGTTTCAATTTCGTCCTTACCTAACCATCCTTGTCTTCTTTTGGTACATCTTTTCCTTAGCAAAACGCGTTAATCTCCCGTATTTTCAACCATCTTTGTGTTCTTTGAGTTTATCTCTCCCTCTGTTAGGTTTATCTATACCCTCACAACTTTTCTTTGAAGGTTTCGTTCCAGTTTAAGACAATTTCAAACAAGCAAAACACAGCTAAGAATCTAGACAAAACCAAACAAAAGAGGCCGAGTAAAAAAAGTTTAAAATGAAGTCCTTAACGTAGATACACTGAGGATAACTAAGGTCGAAAGTGAGTCGCTCTAGAAATGAAGAACCGGTAACAAATCTAAGATAATCCATAAAACATCTAGAGCCGGTAAAGACCGAGAATGCTTCGAAAGCTACGCACAACAGTCAGGGTCAGCACTGATTATGATGATTAACAATTTTAAATCAGTACGGCTGTTCAGGTGTGAACTTTTTCTTTCAACCCTTTGATTCCTTAGAGTGACGAGCATCTAAATTCTCTTCACAATATCACCCCCGAATCTCACATTACAGTCACCAGAATAGAGGAAATGATTACTAAAGAAACTTTTGATTATCAAACTAATTCTCCACGTCATAATTTTACGAAACCTATTGAGAACAGTTTGGATAACGTATGCATATAACCAAACAGATATTAAGGTGTAAGGGTTAAGCAACTAGGAAATTATGAACTCCAACTGACGATTGCTATTTTTCGTTTCCCGTTGCTTTTGGTAGCGGGCCAATTTTAGCTCGTCGTAGACATGGAGAAATCAAGTTATTGGTTTTCCGCTTAGAGCTCTGCAGGTTTTCGATATTTCACTAGCAAGAATAATGCTGGCAACATCTATTCAAAAATTCGTTTCAGTAGACCCCTGGCTTGCAAGGTTACAAACAGTAGACGTAAGACATCGAAAAATTTAGTTTAATATATTACGCCGCTTTTTCTGGATTAATTTTTGCGATATTCAAGTAAGAAAATTAAAAGAAGATTTATTGATAGCGCCTTGCAATTTCATCTCCACCCTGGTATATTTTCTAACATCTATTTACAAAACGCCTAACGTACTTCGAATGCCGAATTAACACGTCCAAAAAGAGAAACGTGACCTTGGTGTAACGGCAAGGATTCAAGCACTTTACTCATCTTTGCAGCCGTTGCTTAGTCACTTCAAGAAGCATATTTCTGTGCCACGCAACGGGTCACGCGATCAAACAACGGCTGCTACAATTTCCACGTACACGAAAATAATGTTTCATTTCTGTTAGTGGAAGACAATGCAGACACTGTGGGCCGGCACAGGAACAGACTGTTTCAACTTAAACCTAGCCTATTCTGAAACAACCGAATCACATAAAATATCAGTTCAGTCGACTTCAAGTTGTACCAAAACAGTCTATACTTCCCGTACGTTCTTTAAAACGATGAAATAGCACTCAGAGCAATTTTCAAACACGTGTGGAAAGCAATCCGGGATTGCATAGGTTTTTCCTTTCTCTAGTCTGTGACTGGTCTCAAAATTTTCGCCATCCTCTCGACTGATTCAACTCAAAACTAAACCCAATCACAACTTATTCGCTTGCGATTTCACGCGCTTCGGAGGATGGCTTGTTTCCATTTTAGTTCTCATAGGCGCCTCGAGATCGTTACCTCTCTTCTGATTGGCCTTAGTGATTACTTCAGTTTTGGTTCTACGAACCTCGATCGAAATTCGCTCTAACTGGAAAAATTGATAAAATTTTGGTAAAAGTTGGCAGAACATCACATTAATGCAGTGTGTACCTTGACAACAATCTCGTTGTAAACGGCTCGTCTTTTTGTTATTCCTGGTTTGCTTTATAAGAATCAAAATCCGCTAGCACATGAAAAGCGCGTAGAAGAAAGCAAACGCTACAACAATAAAATGCAAGATTTAGAGCACATTGGTCCAACTTGCATGTATAAAACTTATTTTAACTGCCGCCAATCTAATATCTCTAAACCCTGTTTGAAACTTATAAGTGATGGACGTGAATTGCACAATCGTAAATTCTAATTTCACTTCCTGAAAACAACTGGTTTGTCCGACGAAAATAAGTCATCCTTTTCCACTGAAACACACAGTACATCATACAGCGTTACACCTCAAGTACTTCAAACAATCCCATTAGATCAATGCTCGTTTTAGTGTGTTCTCTCATCAGCCCTATGCACAGTAGGTGTAAATGATCATGTTGCAGCGTACGCCGAGCTATCTCTTGTCGAATTTGGATCAGATTTTTTTAGGGCCTTGTGATGGTTGGCCTACAGAAATAACTACAGGGCCTTGCATCCTGGCCTGTTGAACTGGACGTGTTCCTCCAGGAGGCTTGTCTGGAGTCTGTGGTAAAAGTCGCCTAGGGCGAGCCCGAGGAACTTGATCACCACTCCTCGCTGCGGAAACGGGAGCCTCCTTCATCAATACCTGCTGTTTCCTGGCGTTTCTTCTTCTAACGGCAGGGTTCGCGTTGAATGAAACCCCACCAAATGGGTCATCCAGATTGTCCATAAAATCTGCGGCAGGGTTTACTAAGCCCGATTGATCCTCAAAAGCGGCTCCTTGAGAGCTATCGCGCTCAACATTTCCCCCGAATGGCGCAGGGTTTCCAAAGCCTTCATTTAGATCATGAAAAGGAGTGGAAACTACACTATTTACAGAACCTCCTGCAACAGTCCCTACTTGCATCGAAGCAAACTGGCTTGACAAACCAAATGAGTCAGCATTAGGCTGGCTGCGATCTTCAGGTTTTTTAACCAACTGTTCACTGTTGCCTTTCGGTTGTGAAGGGGCCCGAGGGGAAAATGGAGCAGCTCCAAAAGCATCTGGAGAAGCCGGCGGACCTTGTTTACATTTCTGAAGTACGAAGGGTGCCGCACCGAAGGGATCAGAAAATCCCGGAGAGAGGGGTGGGCACTCAGCCAACTCGGTGCTCTCCTCCGGTTCACTATCACTTGAAGCCTGATCCATAAAATTCAGGGGTTGTTCAATCTCAGAACTGCGGTAGCCTTGGAGAAAAGGGTTATTACCATCTTGGACAACGTGTGTAACGTATTGCTGTGGATCAGTGCCAGCACTGGTATCGTCCGTAAAATGGGCAGCGGAATTTTCCCCATCTGCAAATTCGCCGATAGCTCTCTGCGGGTAGGACTCCGGCATGTGGCTACCAAATGCAGTTGCTCCGAACAAATCCGTTTCTTGTTGCAATTCAGACGCATGTGGACTAGCTGTGTAGGGTTGATGATAAGTGATATTAACATCCAAGGGAGATTTCTTCACATCACTCTCCCGGAGTGAGGCGAAGTCGTCATCAGTCACATCACTTGGAGGGGCCACAAAATCCTGCTCATTTGATTGGTAGAATGGACTAAACGGGTTCCAGTGGGGTGTGGATTCCTCGTTGGACTCAATATTTACTAAAGGCATGTCTGACTGATCATTCTCTTTGGCGAGGTTCAGAGATGGGTCACTGGGACTTCGATAGTGCGAATTTATCTCGTTTGGGAGAGGAACTGAGGGTGCTGCTTGAACTTGCACTTTAGACTGGTTGCCAATGGCAAAATTAGGATCAGACCTGGAGCGGTTGTGTGACATGTAACGTGGGCGTAACAATCTGGCATCGCCGTTGCCAGGTCTGGCATGAAGTGATGAACCCTGATCTGAGCCTTGAGAAGACTGAATAGACATTTGAGGCTGAACGGCACCACGGTCGTGAACGTCACACTGGTAAGCCGTCTCAACTGGATACTGCTGGTATTCGTAGAATGGATTGAGCTGACACTGGTCAGAATCGTGATACATTTGCTGGGTGACATTTTGCTGTCGCTGTTGTTGTGAACCAGGATGGTAGGGTTGCCCTGGTTGTACTTCTCTCTGGTAGTTCAACTGTTGTTGCGCCAGCTGCTGTTGCTGCTGCTGTTGTAGAAGCTGCTGTTGTTGCTGCTGTTGGAGCAGTCTTTGATGTTCCTGCTGCCGAAGTAACATCTGCTGCTGATGCTGCTGTTGTTGCAAGTACTGCTGCTGAGCTAACTGTTGTTGCTGCAGGTACTGTTGCTGTAGATATTGCTCCCTTGTCATTTGCTGTGGGTAGCCCACATTTACACCCTGTTGGGCTTGACGACCTTGATGAAAGACTGTTGAAGCCTGGGGGACACCCCTAAGCTGCCCAGCAACCATATCTGGCCCCCCATGAGCTATATTTCTAGGGTCCTGTACTTGACCCACATTTCCTTGAGCTTGCAGATGAGGTCCATAATTCTCTTGTTCCCTTGTATGATTCTGTGAGATGTTCCTTCTGTTTTGTCTAGGACTGGCCATGTGACTCAAGCCATGACCATGTTGAACATCCAGAGTTCCTCTCTGCGCCTGCGTGAATTGCTTGCGGCTTAGCTGAGGACTGGCAATGTGGCTTAAATGCGATGATGCCTGGGAAGAAGCCAACTGCTGAGCACCCTGACCTGCTCGTGGGCGCTGGCGAGGGGCGAGAGAAGTGGTAACGGGACCTTCAGGCCGCCTACAACAAAGAATCAATTCCGGGTGTTAGCAAAGTATAATCTTAAATCAACGGCAAAGTCAAGTGCAAACAGCTCGAAAAATGATCACACGTAAATATCACTTGCGTCTAGATCAGCTGTCAACTGACTACAGATAAGAACAGGTCACCTACCATCCATATGAACTGTGCATATTGTAACAGCTCATAATTCCGTTAACTGTATAAATACGAGCTCAATTCTCACCTTAATTTGGGAGTAACACGACCAATGTTTTCTGTCTTCTGCGGTCCCTCGGATGATATCTCAGGCAGAGAGTCAGGTATTCTTACATTCTGTAACAGACGAAAAGAACAAGTCGTTATCAAACGAGTGCAGTTTTGAGGGGAATCGCTCTTTTTTTTTTCTTCACCCTCTGACCCCTAAAAGTGATTGGCATCTTGTTTCTCCCAACCATATCACCCCTGAGTCAAACATTAAGGTAACGAGAATAAAGTAAATGATCACCAACTAAAGAAGCTCTTGATTGTTAAACAAATTCTCCTTGTCAGCAACTTTGGAAATGTATAGAGAACAGTATGGAGAATATGCATACTGATTTCAGGGTGTAAAGGGTTAAACGATTTTGGGTTGCCTAATGGCGAATTTAAATGGAGTTGAGCTTGAAGCCCTTGGATTAAATGGTGTGTTGTCTCCTGGTCTCCTTCGTAGCTGTTTTTTTGGTTTCGTCACGCAACACGCTCTCTGGTGGGAGAGAGAGCACGTTGAGTAACGAGACCAAACAACGGCAGCGAAAGAGACTTATTGTATCCAGGTCTTGGAAAGAAAGTAAAATGAAGTAACTTTTGCATCCAAGTTTGCTACTACTAAAACCACTAGCGCTGATGCAAGAAAATAAGAAATAACAAGACAAACCTTAGTATTGGCAACAGGGCACTCAAGTCCTCTGAGTTTAAATGCTACATAGGACACTTGGAAGATATCGGGTCTACTGTCTGGGTCCGGGTTAAGAATGTAACCTAAAAAATCAAATTGAAAACATAAAGGAAATCAGGTGTAAGTCGCAAAAATACGCTACTTAGCAAGGAACAAGAGCACAACAAAATGAACAAAAGGAATAAAATATGGAAACAAACGTACTGATTAGTCTGTGAAGTTCAGGCGAATGGCGCGAGTTTTCAGGAAAGGTGAACTGACCACTTTGTATGGCCAGAGGACTTTCACCAAACGGTAAAGTAAAAAAACACAACTTGTAAAGAAGACATCCGAGAGCCTGACGGAAGAACAAAAACAAAAAAATGACAATTGGTAACCTGTTGCAATCTTAAAATGGGATTGATACACCTCAATAAACAACAGCAAGAAACAAACAGACAAACAAATTACAGTTCTACAAAGAGATACAAAACAAAACAAATCACGACATTTGTAGAAACCAATCCCCCTCCTAGCCCCACTCCGCGTGGCCTTCTATTTAACTTTGAATTTTCGCGCGGATCTTGCAAATAAGGTGTGAGCTCGCGTCAAGGTATTCGCATGTACGTTCTTCAGCCGTATTTCAAAAATCGTCAGGTAAATTGCTCTTTCGTCGAGTGTCCCGTGTTCCTTATGTTAGTACTATCGCCAATGTTATACATGTTTCTTGTTATTTGTATTTCTTATGTTATTTCCGATTTTGTAATTTGTCGTTCCGTTCTTGATGACTTCTATGTTCGTAAAACTTCCCTTAGAAACCACTGGTAGTGGCGTAGAAATAAACTCCTTTTAAATTTATCGCCGGTGCGTTGGTTATAACATTTATAATAACAATCTCTGTATAACTTGTTTAAAAACACTATACCTACCCAGATATCAGCTTTTGTTGAAATTATTTTGCCACTGTATAAATCTATCATTTCAGGTGCCCGGTAAGATAAAGTTGTATACCTAGAAACAAAAATGGCCATAATAAATAGTCCAATAATAATAAAAAAAAAACTGCTCTGAAACAACAATAAAACTGTGTAAGGAAACAATTCCACAAATTTAGACTGTTAGTAAAGCTTGTACTCAAAACATCAATACGTCTTGATTGTGAGTGATTTTAACTGAGTTTGCAGAACAGAGCTCTGTGATTGGTTTACATAATGGAAAGACATCCTCTCAACTGATGGTACCCAGAAATTAACCCTTCCCATCCCAAGATTCATCACCAAGAATTCATACTGTCTACAAGACAATTCTTATAATTACAGCTCTGGGTATTTGATATTCCCTGGTTGATATTTTACTTTCCCCTTATCACTCTTCCACTTGAAAATATTACAATTAATATTGCGAGGAGATATTGCTTTCCAGTCACTCCTGCTCTCTTGCACTGGAGCATGTGTAACATGTAACGCTGACCCCTTAGAGTGACTAGTATCTAATTTATCCACCTCTGAATCAAATATTAAGGCCACAAGAATAAAGGAAATGATCAACCACAAAGATGTTGATTGTTAGACAAATTCTCCATGCCAGCATCTTAGGAAATGTAAACTATAGAAAATATTAGGAGAATATGCATACTGATGTTTGGATGTAGAGGGTTAATGATAATAGCATCCTCAGGAGATTGACCTTCTTTCTTCTTCCTTCCTTAGTTAATGCAATTACAAGTACTTTAAAATATCCATGATAACTAATGACTCACTTTTGAATTTCCTCCTCTACCTTAGTGACACCTTCCTCCTGAGTGGACAAGAACAAAAAGATAAAATTTCAATCGAATTTGTGAGTTGTTTGACCAGTCTAAGGTAAAAAAGAAATGCTGCTACCCTCTTAGCTAAGATTCAAATTACATTTAAATTTTATTGTGATATTCAAATCTTGAACATACTCAGTCTCCCAAGGAAAAACAATAAAACAGTAAAACTCCCTCTTAAACAAAAAACAAATTTAATGGCACCTTGTTCCACTATAAAAAATTGGCTAAAAGTAAAACAAATCTGGTTAAAAATAAGACTATAGATTCACATAGAGACTCCAATTCATGCTTTCTTTTCTCTCAAGGCAGCTCAAGGAAGACAAGCTAAAGTCCACAGAAACTAGCAGTAAATGAAATGCAAAAATTGCTCCATCAAACCTGTGGGTTGACAACTCTTCTGGTTGCACTACCATAGTCACATAAAACAAAGTCACCACGACTACTGCATAAAATATTCTCTACCTGAAAATCATGGATGAGAGAAAGATATTCATGTAAGGGTTTAACATTGCACTCCATAGAAACAAAGCAAACATAAATTGAAACATGGAAGGAACAGGGCAAGTCCTATAGGCACATCATGTAAAATGTATCTACATATGAGTGTAATTAAACCCAAAATTCAAAATATTCTCTAATAACATGCCATAAAAACAAATTAAGCTCTATGACAATGAAATATGTTATTAAAATACTTCACTTGAGCAAAATAGAAATAAACCATGCAATTACGACCAGTACAGTGTAGTTTGATGACCTGAGTTTGTTTATGACTTCTTTAGATTTTCTTCAAGATTTTCTGTCTGCTCGCTTGATTGTTTGTTTGTTTTTTTCCAATGGCTATTAGATACAATTTAAAACATTACCTTAAGGTCTCTGTGAATGACTGGTGGATCAGCTTGGTGCAGCTTGGAAACTGCTTCACACGTATCTGAGAAGATCTTCAGTACTAATGACTCACTGAAGCCTGAGCTGATGTGTTCATTCATCAACTGAACAACATGGCCCTCTAGGAAAAAAAAAAGGGAGAAATCCAAGAATCAGGTTTATTTACAGCCATGTATGTTGCTACATGTGTGGTAAACATCAACAGGATTTTGGGCTTCTCTGCTTTGGCAATCATGTGAGAGGGGTGGGCAAGGGTGGGCAAATCATAACAAACAGTGGTCTCTCCTGTTTTGAGCACCAAACTGGGGTGCAAAAAGTTTTTCTGCATGTATTCCCAGGGCAGGGAAAAATCAAAAAGCAAGCAAAGCCCACAGCACAATACGTTAAATAATTAAGCTCTTAAACCCTGTAACTCCCATGAGTGACCAAGACAGAATTTCTCTTTACAATATCAATACAATTTCAAGCAGACAAGTGATGAGAATAAAAAAAAAAATATCAGGGGAAGTATAAATTGATCCAATATCAAATTCTCAAAACTAACATCACAAGAACTGTAGGGTAGACAGTAAAGAGAATTACAAATGAAATCTTGGGAGTTAAAGGATTAAAGAAAGCAAGTTAAGCACAGTTATTATTTTTTCCTCTACAACTACCCACTAATGACTTCATGAGGGCAAACTTTAATTCAGAGCATACCTCTACAATATTCCATCAAAATGAGCACTTCATAAATGCCAGGAGAAATCTGATTGATGGTGCAGGCAAGGTAGGTGATAGCATTCTTGTGGCCAGACATAAGTTTCTATGATAAGAGTGGAGATTCATAATTCCTCAGATATTTCATACTATTCAAATTGATTTCAATCAATTATAATTATAATCATTCCCTGCTAATGAAATACAAGTGAATTAGACAAGATTTTCCACTACAACAAAAAAACGCTCTAAAATTTGTCATGCTCCTAACATCACATTTCATATTTCATTAAGGCAGCAAAACTTGGATATTGTTACCATCCAGCATTAAAGGAATCCACTCTTTTTCCTCTTTACAGAACAGCCTAAACAATATTTATCTCTTAATATTATTATTCCTATTGTCATGTATTTTTGTAACAAATCAAATAAATTAATAATAAATAAAATAAATGTGTGTCTTTGTAGCTCAATTGTTAGCAGCACCCAACTGCTCTGTAGGAAGCACAGGTATGACTTCTGTTGAAACTTGAAATTTTTCAGACTTCTTTTCAACAATCTCTTCAATTCAAAGTGAATCTTAAAGAGACTCGTGCTATAAGTAACTCTGCTTACAGCCAATCTGATAAAATTCTGTTTTAAGAAAACTTGCTACAAGCAGATTTCTTTGATATATATTCCTGTAAACAGTCAGTTACAGAACACAGAAATATATATGCTCAGCAGAGATGTCTGCATTCTGGAGCTTCAACTGCGATAATCACAGAACAGAATTATATCACCTATGTTCACTTCCTGAAAAAGACCCAAAATGAATCTCTCCTTGTAGAAATCTATAAATTTTCAAGTAGATGAGTGATGATAAGAAAGAGGAATATCAACTAGGGACTATTAATTCACTTAACACCAAATGATCACAGTTAACCCTTTAACTCCCAAGATCTGATTGTTAATTCTCCCCTGTAGCTGCTACACATTTCCTTTTAAATTAGTTATGAGAACTTGGTGCTAGATCAAGATAGCAGCTTCTATCCGATTTAGTTTGAATATTCTCATTACCTGTTTACCGAAGAATGTATGGATATTGTAGAGAGAAGTTTTATGTTAATCACGTCTGGGAATTAAAGGATTAAACACAAAAGCTTTGTATGGAAGATGGTTCAACAAACCATTATGTCAATTTCTTGCTTGCAGATTGCTAAGTCATGCTTATTGTTGACTGAGATCCGTTTGAGAGCATGTTTCTTTCCACTGGGAACTCTCACAAGGAACACCAAGGAAAATCCTCCTAGAAAAGAGAAAAAGGCAATTAGTAAACACAAGCAATTTATCCTTTGTTTTCCCAACAAAATGGCAATCAAAATTAAAAATTGTTCTCTGGGTTAATTTATGAACTATGATTATCACTATGCTGTCACTGTCGAAGTTATGATCACACTGAAGATTTTCTACTTTTCTAATGTAAATGGAAGCACCAATTATTTTGTGGGTTTGTGCTCTATCATTGCATTTTCTACCCTGTGCAACACATTTCTTATCTTGTACCCAAAATCTTGCCATTCAAATATCACTTTGCTCAATTTTATCTCCAAAGTTCTAACCCCAAATTGTTAAACCCATCTTGACTAATTTTATATCATTGACCTCCCCTTATCCGCTAAACTGCAGGGCAACTGCTTTCACAATTGTTTACTGTCAGTATAATTATATAATGGTGGGTAGTAAACGGTGATTCTGGACCAATTAAGTGGCGAAAATCAAATAAATCATGCGAAAGAGAGTATAGGAAGAGAGTTATAAAAATCTCCATCATGACATTTTCACTCACATCCAGTGCGTGGTTCTATTTTAAGAAATGTGATGTGGAAACTTTTCGATTTCAAAACCTGTTGGATGTGATGGTGGAATTTCAAGCTTAAATAACCAACGACTCAAAAACGAGAAGTAAATTTTTTCAGATGAAAGAATTGCGTCGACTTTTTCATAACAAAATAGCTCGATCGAATTCTCCCTGAAGCAAAATTCTTTAAAGTTTTACAGTTAATGGATCGGCCCATGAAAGTGTACGTAAAATGAGCTGTGAGGTGAGTATTATTATCCAAAACAAAGGCAGTTAAGCTCACTAATCTGTCATAGTTTAAAATACTTCAAGGATAGACTCGCTCCTGGCAACTGACTCTACTTTACCAAAACTCATTGCACAACTTACTCAACAGCCAAGATATGTCTAAAAAAGAGAAAACTGAAACAAATACCTTCGGCGATGACTTCTTCGACGATGCACTGACATCGTCCCACCACCAAAGTCTTGCCAACAAAACTACTTTGATGGTCGTTCCCTCCTCCCGACGAGAAAAATTTCTTCATCATTTAGATCTCTCAAGCCCCCCAATTGCAAAAGACAGTCTTTCGATAGTGTTACATCTTGCAGAGTGAAGCCGTACTTCTAAAATTAACACAACTATAGAACAAATTGTCTGCGATATATCAATCATCTCACAGGTCTATCACTTTCCATCGACAACATGGCGGACATGTTACCCATGATCCTCTGTAAGGTAGATCTTCCGGTAAACAGATTACTTCCGGTCTCCTTGTAGGATGTGCTCGCAAAACGGAAAAGGAAATTCACTGTAGCAAGTTTTTCCTGAAAACATTAGTTTTAAACAGAGAGTCGATGAGACAAATATAAATATCAACCGGAGGATTTCGTACGGTATAACACCAAAATCTCCAAGCTAAAATTACTCAAAATGTATCTTAGTTATCTTGTTATTTTAAGAGTAAAACGGTCTTGCCAAATAAGGCTATTACGATTTGTCTTCTTGGGGCGAGTTGTCTCACGGTTCGTCAGTCCGCGATTAGATCAACTGCCTTAGTAGTAAAACTGAAGGCTCTGTGTAAGATGCAATTCATGCAAGTCCCTGTTAAGCCACATCCAATTCAAAATAAGGTTTTCCTTGGAAAATTAACCGCCCTCCGCATCCGAGAAAACATGTTTCCATGTTAATATGCCTAACTTATCCATGTAAAACACGAAAAAATTGGAACTTACGGGCCACGAATGTTCAGTTTTTCCTTCAAAGCCACTTTTTTGTTGTTGATGTTGTTATCATTTTTCCCTCTTTTTTGTTTTATCATTTTTCAATTTTAGAAAGTACCAACCCATAGAAACCAATAACTTCCAATTTCACGTTTTGGAACGTCGGCAACTTTAGTTAATTAATATATTTCTACGTGTATCTCGTGGGAATTGACTAACACTACAATTATCACTTGGTACAAAAAATGTTCCCTAGGAAAATGACGATAAAATAGAACGAAAAAACATAAAATACAACATTATTCTCTTGATAGCGTACATTTCACAGTCGTTACAATTGTCAAATGTTACTGGGTACTGCCTCTGACTATTTCATACGTGATTTGTGAATTATATTTATTTGGTCAATGTTCAATAACATCCAGTTTAATTAGTTAACAAGTTAATCATAAATCAAACAAAGATCACTTTACATGAAATCTAATAACCTGTTTGTCGGTGTAAAGGAATGTCCAATAGTCGAGAAATCCCGAGGATTAGTGTGCGTTTGAAGTAGGTATTTATACCGATCTTCGTTTTGCATGGCTTTTCTGTGTCTCTATGCTTTCTCGGTTTTATACTTCTCACTGAAAGGAACTGACGGTGGGCATTTTCAGTGTGAACCACTGAGGGATCAAACGTGCTTCGGATCACGTTTAGATTACAACTTCACAACGTTAGATTTAGTCACAGATTCTGATACTCAGCTGGACGTTGAGGAAAATTTAAAGAAATGGGAAGGATTGAAATTCTTATCCAAGTGCTGGTCGGTTCTTCAGCCACTTCTGTGTCAAGTTTACAAGCCGCAATGCTTCAATGATAACGTCACATTGCCCTGTAGGGAACAGTGTCTTGCTACTCGGAAGCCGTGTTCTGTGGTCGAACGCTACAAAGAACAATGGCCAGATTTTTTACAGTGTGAACGTTTCCCTGTTGGAAACTGCAAGGGCGGTTCGGTAAGTTGAATAGTATGACAGTACAGTAGAACATAACTTTTCCGATATCCAGCCCATGTTCGTATTAAAAAAAAATGCGGTTGATATTTTAGTTGATTGTCCAACACGCATAGACGACAGATGTCATGTATATAAAATTGTTTTACAATTTAATGTAACCCAGTCAACATAGGGGGGAATTATAATACGTGTCCCGTTTTGGAATTTGCCCCCGACGAGCCTCTTTTCCCTGAATTGTTACAACATTCTAGATTAAAAAGAAAATGTGTCATCTAAAAACAACTGAATCGACTTTCAATAAGAGCACACATGATGGATTGTTAGTGATAGTAGGCTTAAGGCTAGCACTAATCTGGGCTTCACCTAAAAATCATCTGCCATTAACGATAGCGAGGTAACAGAATCAAGGAGGGAAGACGAAATAAAGTGTTTACTATCAACAGTTCAGTGCATACGAGCATTCATCTGAGTACTTTCAACGTCCTCTCAAGGACTTAACTGAGCTGACCCATATTGCAACGGGGAAATTTGTAGCTTATTAGCTTTATAGCTGATTATTCAAAATCGATATACCACTTTAGATAAATGTTGTTCACCTTAACTTAATATACCTAAGAGTATCAATGTGAAGAACACTAACACTGAGATCTTGAAAGTTCTAGAATATATTACAAACTGATATCTTGTAATTTAAATGAACAGCTAATGGAATCTGACTGACACTGTTGGTGGTCTGACCAACTGTCTATATGTCTTGTGTCCAAGGTCAATTGCTCTTTCAATGGCCTGAGAAAACACATTGCAAATTCTATTAAGAAAACACAAAGATATTACTCCAGGGTGAGAAGATAAATGAATTTTGTGTTTAAGTGGGAAAAACAATATCTCATAAGAGAGAGCACAGCAAATGAGAGAGATATTATTCATGCCAGGGGATAATAAAATTAATATTTTTAAGCTAACATGTAATTTTCTTTTTATTGCTTGGTAAAGATTGAAAAGCTGCCTTTAATACAAATACTGGGTATTAATAGAAACAAATACCAGTGCCAAAATTAAAAAAGGTTCACATATAACACTGTAGTTTAGGCCAAAATACATGTGAACTGGTTTTATAGGCTTAGTGAAAATTTGGTTTCTGACCCTGATGTTCTGACTCTGACTCTGACTAAAGCATCCCTTCTCCTGGTTCTTAGGGTATCAGGTAAGTGGCAGCAGGAGATGTGCTGGAGCTCAGTACAAACTTCTGTGCAGCCCACCATTACTCTACAAAAGATAGCCTGTTCCTGACTCCCAGTCAGTGGAGATGGGGAAGGATCTGGTAAAGGGGTAATTGGTGATTGTAGTTGTCTTTTTTCGTTGCCCAACCCCTTGCATTCATTCTGAGTCTGCCTTTTAGCACATTTACATGAAGCAAGAACCACTCAAAGGCCAAGTAAAGGAGTCTGCCCCATTGGAATTATCCAATGAACCTAAACTCCAAAATTGAATCAAGATTATAAATAATATAAAAAAGAAAGAGATACTTAAATTGCAGTTAACACTGTTCATTATTTATATCTATCAGGTAACTGAACTTCAGCTAAATGAGTCAGCTTGCAAGAGGCCCTTAGTGGCAACAAAGCATGAGTCCAGTTGGTATGAGGGAATTGAGGGGTGTGGTATCCAATGTGAAAACCCTATATTTACCACTGAAGAGCACACAAGAATTCACAGATTCGTGGGAGCATTTGGAAGTTTGTCATTTACATGCAGCCTTTTCACAATGGTACCTCAGTTCTTCTCTATTTTCTTGAATTTTGTTCTGTTAAATTCATGCAAGTTTCCCAGTTAATTACAACTGTACATCAATCTCCCCTATTCCACAGATTACATTTCTTATTGGCTGGAAGTCACAGAATCGATATCCATCAGTTATTCTCTTTTATATGAACACTTGCTTCTGTGCAGCATCTATGGGTTTTCTCATCCAATTTGCTGATGGGGCCAGAAACCGCACAGTATGTAGGGAGGATGATACTATGAGGCTTCAGGAACCAGGGTAACTCTTTACATTGTGATAAGGTGGTAAGATTTCTTAACTGAGTCAGAGATCAGACAAAGGGTGAAGTCTGCAGTTGAGCTCAATAAGCCCATCCAGCTGGAATTTATCCCACTTTCTTTTGCTTGGAACAATAAGGAGTATCGCTATGTTCTTAGGATGGGATGCTTGTCTATTATATAGGAGGGCCATGCAGGAAAATATTAAGGTCTAGGTCATGACATATTGCAGCAAGATTCACTCTGATATTATTGGACAGTAAGATCTTTAATTGACACCAAGTACCCTATTATTGTTCAGAACCTTGTATGAATTCTCTAACAATTTAAAACATCACAGTAAAGTTTTAAAATTGCTTCAACAAACCATACTTTTTTTTTTTTTTTAATTTTTTTCCAGCGAGAATGACTGTTTCCTGTGCATTCTAACCTTTGTTCTTGTGTACTACTTTTCATTGGTGGGAGCCCTGTGGTTTGTCATCTTGGCATTTTCCTGGTCCATCTGTTTTAAGTCTCTGGGAAGCACCAGAGATAACTTTGCTGGAAAAGTGGTTTATTTTCATGCAATAGCTTGGTTAATTCCTCTTACTTTGGCAATTGGTACTCTTGCTATGAAACAGGTAACAATTTGGCAGACAAAATGTTAGAAATGACATTGCTGATAAGGCTTGGCTGAAAAAAATGTCTTCAAGAATAATTTGATTAATAATTAATTGATTTGAAAAATAAAGAAATGACATTCAAGCATCCTAGTCTCTCAACCCTCGATTCACAGACTGGGAGTGGAGCAAAATCTCATCAAAATTTTAAAATTGCAGTCAAAACCAACAATGTTACTGTGAGGCTGTAACAAATAAATCACTTTAACTTAAAAGTTAATTTTCCAAGTCTGATACTGTAAGAACTCATATGATTTATGAATCTTAAAATGCAATTTTGAAATTGGTTAGGAATCAGAGAGATATCACATACTGGTCAAGTGTTCTTTTTTTTTCATGACAATACATTTTTTGAACAAATGTTTTAAGCATATGTTTGGTTACTTTTAATAGCAAGTAATTTCTTGTTGCATTGAAATTGAAGGTTGATGCAAACTCTTTGAGTGGAATCTGTTTTGTTGGTTACAAGAATCCCAATATGAGAGCCATCTTCCTATTGGTGCCATTAGGTCTTGATCTGCTCATAGGAGGGAGCTTTTTAACACAAGGTTGGTCATCAATTCACTGACTCAAAGTATGTGATATTGTGATATCAAGCATGGCCTACTGGTCTAACCTCTCCTTGTATTTACTCTCGTTATGGTCACATATCTTGAACTTTTGTACCATACACCCACTGTGTTCCACTTCTTAGCTCCCATAACTGTATTTATACCAATTTCATTTCTTGATCTTAGGTCTTGCAACTCTATGTAAGCTTCGCAGGGCAAATCCTAATTTTCTGAGCCACAGAGCTGCTCATAAAATCAAAGAAACTATCATGAGAGTTGGTGAGTGAAGGGTAATCTTATCACATAAGCACTTTCTCTGAAAACATTCCAATTCAAACAAAAGAACCACCAACAATAACCAAAACCTTTGTAATATGAATTTAAAAAACTATACCAAGAACTTTCAGATCATCATCAATATTGGAGCAACTGCACACCTACCCCTCCCCTGGCCCAACATTAACCCTAACTTGTTATTAGATGATTGTTGTTGGGTTAGGGGAGGGGTAGGTGCACAGTTTCTCAGACACTGACATTGACATTGATCTAAACTTCCAACTCAAAATGTAACTTGGTTAATGAGGGTAGCAAAGAGGGAAAGGGAGAGAGGAGGGGAGGGGAAGGGGAAGGGGGGGGAAAGGGGATCCTAATCAGGTATCTCTCATGTAATTCTTTGCTACCCTACCCTTGTTGGTCTTTCCTTCAATTAGTATTCTTTGATTCCTGCTTATTTATGTGGCCCTTAGCTTAAGCCATGTTAAATTGATAAAACTTATGTTATGGTAAAACTCCACAGGTGTATTTTCTTTTATTTCATTTTTGACGGTATTTACAACCTTTGCCTGCCATGTGTATGAATATCACAACCAAAAAATTTGGGAGGAGAGCTACAGAGATTTTGTAAGGTAAGTACTAGTACCTAGTTCTACTGATTTTTAGGGAGGTGATTTTAAACTTTGATAAATGTTTCTGTTCTGTAGAAAGTTAATTGGTGCTCTGGTAATCAACTATGTGTGTTTCAAGAACTGTCACAGTATCTTTTTTCGGTTATTTTGTTTTAATTTGTTAACTTTCATTCTCTCTCTTTTTTTTTCTTCTCATTTTTACTAAATTTTGTAATAAAACCAAGTACAATAAAAGTCAGACTGATTTGGCAAATTAAAAAATATATTAAAAAAATATCCAGAAACAGTCATTGTACATCTAACCACATAAGGTGATATTTCACATTAGTTGGGTTTATGTCCCTGAAACATGGCAAATTTGGCTCATAGTTCTACTCTTGAAATATGTTGCAAGAGTATTGAATGACATTTCACTTCTTAAAACTTCTAATTCTGCCTTAAAAAGCTCAAGTGCATTAAGTAAATTTCTGTAATTATTTTCAATAAATTTATAAGGAAGTAATGCTTTTTTTGAAAAATGAAAAAAATCAACTCTTTAAATCCCATGAGTGACCAAGACATAATCTCTCCTTACAATACCAACACAATATCAACCAGATAAGGGATGATGATAAAGAAAAAATATCAATTTGGGGATAATTGGGTGATCCAATGCTAAATTCTCTGCACTAACATTATAATTGTGTGGTTGACAGTAAGGAGAATTATGAATTTGATCTGGGAGTTAAGGGGTTGAGAAAAAAAAAACTGCCTTTATGTGATATCTAGACACAAGTGTATGGTCACCTAAACTAAAAATTTAAGATATCAGACAAGTTGAATATGATGAAGGTAACCATATTTGTAAACTATTTTATTTCTTCCAAGATGCATTGCAGAGAAGGTTGCACGTGGGCAAACATGGAAAGCAACGTGTTCTGTGGGTACACGTCCTGATCTCAGCATCATTGAACTGGAATTAGCCTCCCTCTTTGGCACAGGAATTGCCATGAGTAGTTGGACTTGGACATCGAATACATTACAGACCTGGCAGAAATTGTGGCGCAGGTAATATAGGATGTTTGCTGCACATCAGGGATGGGAGGATTCTCCAATTATTGCACTCAATTCAAATCTCACACTGAATTATGATGAATTGAGTAGCCAGTATATAGCTGTGGTTTTTTTTGTGCTTTTTCTGATTACACTTACATGTTCATTTGGTAACAGTTAAATTGCACCAACAACTGATTTGTTTCACCCAACTCTTTCAGAATAACACGGAAAAATAGGCATCCAGAATTAAGTCACTACAAAATAATTAGAAGGATGAAAAAGAACAGAGTAGCGTAAGTACAGACTAAATTGTTAGTATTTCTTGTTCCAGATTGAAAGACCAAAATGTGATAAAAAAATTAACCATTTATAAGATTCATTCACATGAAGGTAAATACACTAAAACATGAATGTTGGCCAGGACCCCCCACCCCCCTAGGAAGGAGATGCCTATGGCATTACAATCAAAGGCAAAATCTCACTCTTCGCTTGCAAACTGACTTGAGAGCTCTGTTACATTTTATAAAAGGAGTCATTGATTGGTACACAGTCCTAAACACAGAACATTTCTGAAGCTAGTCTGTTTGGCTAAAATTTGATTCAATGTTTTCTTTGTTTTATTTTTTCACTTTAGTCCAGCTGTATTGTACCCTGCCATACCAGAGGTACAAATGGACGCTATTATGAAGATGAGTGAAGCAATTCAAGGGCAGGGTTCAGCTGTGAAAGCTCCAGCTCCTAAACAAGATAATGAAGAGCCACTTAAACTGAAGAGTATCTCTGAATTGACTCCTCAAGAAAATCCTAGTTGATAACAAATTTACACTCAACAATGGAATACAGCAGACCAAGTTTTGACATTACTATGTAAATAAATACAAAAAATAGATATATATTTACTATTTAAGTTATGAAATCAAACAATTCATAACATATTTTATATTCTTTCACATAACATGCATGCTGAATATCCAAGTAGGTGTACAGGATATACTTTGAAAATGTTCTCTTAAAGCAGCTGAATTAATTTATTTCTTTAATATGGTTTCATAACCACCTTAACAACAGACTCTAGAAAAAAAAATGGCAAGTCTGGGGTGATCACTGTATTTTTAGCAAGTTAATGTATTTTGCAATGAAGTTTTCCCTTGTCAGGGGATGGCAATAGTGTAACAGTTAATAGGCTATTCTACAGTTGTGTACTTAGTTGCCAAGCCTTTGATTTGGAGTGTGGCTGAAGGTGACCTTGCTGTGGTAGAGACCAGTATCTGGATAGCATGATAACAAAGTAATTTACATTTGAAAAGCAGCAAGTTTTGTATCCTAACAACCCCCCCCCCCCCCTTCCTTAGCCTCACTCCTGTTCAAAGGCTTGGCAACCAAGCTTGCAACTATAAAACAGACCATTGTTGAAAGATGAAAGATGGGATAGGCAATCATCCCCCCCCCACGCGCAACAATAATTCCTGATCACAGGTTATGGGTACATGTAACATTTTAGTGTGGGCATTACCAAAGGTTTGTAATAAGAAAGTACCTGCTCCTCTTTGAAAAATTCAGGTGTATGAGTGAGACTATTTTGCCAATTAACCCTTGACACCCTAACATCAGTATCTATATCCTCCAGTCTCTTTTCTTTATGTTTCCTTTAGTACTGATGAGGAGAATTTGTTTTACAATCAAAGCTTCTTTGGATGATGATCATTTCCTTTATTCTCATGATCTTAACAAATGATTCAGCCATGTTACTGTTAGGAGAAATTAGATGCTGATCACTCTCAGGGTTTAATGGGTTAAAGGGTTATGAAAAAAAAAGAAAAAAATAAAGGAAAAACATCAAAATTATTTATAGTTATTTTACATTCATGTAATGATGTTTTACAAATCACCAGTAAATAAAAACATCCATTACATTCCAGCACAAAACATATATAATATGTAATTTCAATCTTGCCTCTCATAGATGGCATAGGAAGCTGATTAGTATGTGTATTCCCCTGAACTGTTTACCAGTTAATGGAATTAAATTGTTGGAAGAAGTTACAAGTCATTCTCTTTGGGGTTAGGAATTCAACAGAAGAGAGGGCATCATTTAACTGCTACATGTACCTCTGCAATATGGCTTGTTCTGTAGGTTTGTTATGTAGGTACTGCATTCAAAAGTTGTATTTCATGCATTTATTTCCTGCCAAACTAATTTAATTTCTATTTGCATTATGTGCTATGTTGTGTTATTGCAAGAAAGGGTGCAATTTCATTTCACAAAATAAAGGTTTTTATCCTTTATGCCCGTAGTTATGTGTGCATTATTAGTTTCCTCACAGGCAGCCCAAGCTCCAGCTTTGAGATGATCATCTTGCATAATATGATTCGTGGTGAAAATAATTATAATAGTTGGTATGGGAATATTTATGACCGCTCTTAGGATTAAAAAAAAATACAATCAAATTCTCAATAAAAGACCTCACCTTACTTTCACAGTGCATTGCTTGCTTTGTGACTGTCTACTTGCCGCTTTTTCAAACCTAGAAGTCCTTTGTTTCATACAACAATGAAATACAAAGGAAACATAGCACTGAATAACAAAGGCACATGAATTGCACATTTTTTTCAACTTTGCACGCAAAAAAATAGTATACACGCGTCTGACTACCCTGTATTGGAGCATACGAAATTCATCTGCGCAGTTAATGTCTGCGCGAGTGGTACTGTACATTGTTGCAAGGAGGCCATTTTGGCAAGTTATCCATTTCTAGGGTTACTACTCCTAAGAGTAGCTAATCTAGCTAAAATGGCTTCTTTTCAACATAGCAAGAGGTCAGACAACAAGCAATGCAAAATAAAGGATACTATCTCAGTTGAAACCAAACAATTGCTTTGTATTGAAGTAATATCTGATATAGTAATTAAGTGATGGTTATCAAATGAAGATGCAGGTACTTATCAAAGGTATTAATTTACCTTAAGCATGTCGTTACCGCAGCTTATTTTCCATCTTGCAACTTGCTATGCGGCAATTCTCTGAATCCCTTATTGATACTCCATGATCTGTTTTGCCTGAAACAACCTGTACCATGTAAATCCTCCAAAATTCACTGTAAAATAGACAATTGACACATGCAGTATTAACAATCAGAGACTGGCTCAATGTTACACAAAATGTTTAAAGACAGCCCTACAGGAAGAAGCCAGAAGGTGAGTCATGCAACAATTTTAATGAGGATGCACTATTACAACATGATCAAAGAGATTTAACAAAATGTAACTAGTCAGTAGTGATGGTAATGTCTAAAGGAAGGTTTCAAAATCAAATAAGAGACTTGATTGGAGGTGGTTTCTGAATATCAACTTGGTCATTCTTTTGTAGCACTTCACTGATGTAACCTCTCACTGATGTATGCTGGTATTAGCATAAGGAAAATGAGACAAAAAGAGGCATCGGATTTTTAATCATGTTTCAATTTTAACTTATATTCACCCACAATTGAACACTCTACATAATAACACTAACTTAGTAAGAAGGAGAGCTTTTCAGATTTCACCAGAAAATTTCCTTAGAAAAAATTTTACATTCATCATAGTCAAAAAAAGCTTAGAGTACAATGTCCAGACAGAATATGGATGACAGAGCTCCATATTAATGCACCTGTACATGTTTACACTTGAAGGTAAATCCAACTGGTGCTGTCTTAAACAAACACAGTACTTAAAGCAGTTATTTAGAAGATAAATTTTATTCAACTTGGTAATGACAAAACTTTGTTGCAAAGTCTCTGTTTGTCCTTCTGAGAAGCTCCCTGGTTTCCTGGAGCCGTTTGTGGACATTTACTACAGAATTCTTTGTTGAAGGGTCAGAAAATACAGCTGAAAGTTTTGAAGATGAAGGAAAGGGGCTTATGATGATATCTGCATCTTTCTGATCCGATGGAATGCTGTTAACTTTGCCAGTACTACTCCCATCATCATCATCATCATCATCATCATCATCATCTTTGCCATGATCATCATCAGACACTTCTGAATGAGAAGATGATTCAATAACTGCATCATTATTGCCAAGAGAAGTTGTTGTTTCTTTGAACAGTTTTCGGCTAGTTGATTTGTGCACTGCACTATTTATCCCCCCGACTATTTTAGGTGGTATGCTCAGGCTAGTCATGTGAGATTGTTCAGTTGATCTTGTTTCATCGTGAATATTAAAACCAGACACAACCACATGTGCATCATCTTGTTTCATTGTTTTTTCCTTGGCAGATATTGCAGCCAAGGGATTTTTGCAATAACAGTCAGACTTTCTTTGGCATGCTTCCTCCAGTAACCTCACCTTACTCTCCAAGAGTACAACTCTTGCAGACATGTCATTGTTCAGCAATACCACACCATCAAATTTCTCCTGTAGCTCTTGTAACTGTTGTTTGAGAACTTGGTTTTCTTCAGAAGAACCTGGATTGAATACAAAGCCATTGAAAGTATTGCCTTCACTGGCTTTTGGGTGCCTCACTACTCTTGCATGTGAAATTTTGTCATCTGAATGCAAATAAACTTGTGAATCAGAGCTGGAATTGGGGATGGCTTCATAACAAGTGCTCTTGACAGTTGGCGTGAGCATCAGATCTGGGCTTGGCTCTGGCACTGCTGTCCTGGTAACTGGGGCTGGAGCCAAATGTGGATTCATTCCTCTGTTGGCTGTGTCTTCAAAGGATGATGGATAATATTCTGGCGATGACACTGAATAAGGAATTTCATGGATGCTCACTGGTACTGATATTGGGTTTGGTTGAGGTTTGCCTATAATTTTTTCAGGTCGTTCAGTGGGAAATCTCTGGGAGTCTGTACCTTGATCTTCCCATGTCACCGATTTAACTTGAGGCCGATCAAACAAATATGAACGAGTCTCAACATTTTGAGAAACTGGAAATTTCTTACCAAAGAGCGATTGGTCACTGGATTTGACAATCAAATTTGACGGAAATGGATTAGTTTTAGCAGCCAGGACTTCTCCTGATTTACCAATGTTTACATCTACTCCTTCAGCTTTCGACATATAATGGTTCTCGTGCTCACTCTCAATAAACTCACGAGTTATGAGGGGTTCTTTCAATCCCAAACCAGCTTTCATAGCCTCTCCGTTACTCCGAAACCTCTTCATGTCCGTGTCAGGAGGAAGAGGTCCTGCAAACTGATCAGAGCAAGTCGAAACATCTTTCTTTAAATGTGTTTCCTTGCTTATTCCGTTGACGTTGGTGCCATTCATCTGTAAAGTTTGATTCGCTTTCTTCTTGATCAATTTTCCGCCTTTAGGTTTGAGCTCATTATGTTTCTCTCTCAGGAGTTTTAAGATGGCGCACAGAAAAATAATCTTTCTCTCAGCAAATCCAATCGTTAGAAATTGCTCCCTTGTAAGCTGTGGTTTGTAGCCAAACTCGTCACGAAGAACTTTGTATACGGTTTCCATAAACCGTGAATCCGTTTTTCCGTAAAATTCGTATTCTTTGGATGCAAAGTACTGTGCCAGTAAAATAGAATAGTCTAGGAACACATGATGAACGATTGGAAGAAATGCTTTTGGAATCCCCTGGGCAATTCCTTTGAGGTTGAGCTCAGTTTGAGGATAATTAATTTGCTTCAGTTCAGATATTAGCTTTCGAAGGTTATTTTTTAGGTCTCCTGTAGTCATGATTGCAATCACACAGATTCTGCAACAATTTTTAAGTGAGTATCTGCACTCATTCCCACTAGATCACCGTCGGTCTAACCGCCATTTTTCAAACTGACTTAGCAGCCGCCCTAATATTTATGCGCAAGCAGTACATTTCAGCGGGTTCAGGAACGAAGAACCATATGTCGTATATGAAGAACCCAATATAAACCAGAATCAATATGGCGGACGTAGGACGGATTCCTAGGCGTAAGAAAGGCGCTAGATTCCATCCTAAAGAAGCTCCATTTCCCATTCCCATTCAAAGTATTTCAGGAAAAAAATCTTCCACTGATAGATGGTATTATTACACTGGTCATTTCAGAGATAATTGCGTTGTAATTGAAGATTCAGGGGACCTTACTTTTCTTTACAAGATGGTGAGTTACGGAGAATTTCCATGCCTGTCGTGGATGTCATCGTCAGGTGTGGCGACTCTCTCTATCCTTCCCCTGAAATTTGATACTTTTGGTATATCGATTTAAATCGTCTGCTTTTTCGTTGGATAATAATTATGGATTAAATTCTTTTTTTTTTTTTTTTAAAGTAGTCTCCTTTAAAGACTCTGTATAGCGGTACATTCGGTAGCCGGGAATTGTTTGCAAAATACTAGGTACTCGGTAGTCTCAAATTCCGGCCAAATTTGGCTGGAATCTCATTCAACGAAACTTGCAGAAAATGTTTAATTTTTTATTCAAATAAGTGCAGTTGTTTCTTGGTTGACGAATTTCTCGAGCTAGAGCTCATTTTTTGCACAATCGGCATGTGAATAGCAGCATTGGGCTTAAGACCCACACATCTGTACTCAGCTTTATTTTCCTTTATTTTAAGAGGCGTTTTCCCGTTTCACCGAAGGTATAAGGAAGTCAACCACAGAAAAAACCTCAATGATGACAACATGACATGAAGTGTAAAAATTTATTTACATAAAGAGAGACTAGAATCCAAATTCCGTAAAAAAATATGTATTAAACTTGTTAAATGAAAATTTCAAACTAAGGGGTGACAAATTTGCACGAATGAAAGCTCAAAAACAACTAAGTTGAACTTAACTTAGTTTAAAAACAAATCAACAAAAGTGTGTGAAAAATTTTTACGTCAGCTCTCTAATGTCAAGGATAGCATTCTTTGATGTGTCTGGCTAATTTGTGACATCATGTGTGCTGTGTGTGAATGCAAAAGAATAAAAAGGGGGAGAGGAAGAGAAAAATAATAATTTGAAATTAAAAATGAAAGAGATTTTCTACAAGGAGGTTGGCACTCCCAGCAAGTAGGATTCTGTTGTAATTTCAATTTTTTGATTATGGCTACATCTTCGTTTTATCAACTTTCCTCCTGTCCAAATGCATTTTCAATTTCCAAACCTCAGCAGACTAATGGCAAAAAAAAATTCACATTTATATATAGTATCTTCAAAAATTCATTTCTGTTTTCTTTGTAGGGTTTTTTTGGGAAAGGATTTCTGTCAAGAAGCAAACCTGAATATGAAACTATTTCAAATATTTCTCAGAAAGCATTTTCAAAATCAGAAAAGCTAAGAAGATGTAAGTATTGAATACTATTAGATTGTGAACTGTTAGAAGAGCTACTGAATGATGTTACTGCATGTAACTGGGATTGTGGTGGAGGGGGGGGGGAGAGGGTGGGGGATCTCAGTGACAAGTAGGTAGGACCAAGTTATCCAAAT